GTGTACCCGGGGGCGCCTTCGAGCGTGTCGAAGTGGGTCAGGAACTGGCGGTGGTCTCGCATGCTCTTCTTCACCAGGGATGTGATCTGCTCACGGAAACCGGGTTCCGTGAGTACGGTGCGGTACGCCGTGAGCTTCGAGCCGTCGCGGCGTCCGAGGGGGCCGTCCGGGTTGCCAATCTCCACGCCGCCGTATTTGCCGTTCTCGACATAGCAGAGTCTCATCTCCGCTCCATCGATCGAAGGTGCCTTGCGAATGTTCTCGAGCTTGAAAATGGCTTCCTCGATAAGAAACACGGCGTGCTGAAGGTATGCCGCTGCGCGGAGAAAGAGACATTGGGGCTCGATGGGTTCGGGAGCGTCGGGGAGCACGGACGGGTGGAGTAAGATGGGCTCTCCGTCTGGTCCCTCGACGCTGATCCCCTCTAAGGCCCCTGCACTTGCGCTCGTCCCATTCGGTGGGGCCTGACCATTGGTCTTGCTTCCGTCTACCTTCCCCTTCTTCTTCTTCGACCCCTTGGCGCGCTGCTTGTCGCTGAGGTTGCTATTCATATGCGCGGTCCGAGCCTTCCGAATAGACCGCGCTTCTCGGATAGCGTGCGTGAAATCCTTGACAGCAGAGCCGTACTCATCGCGGAAACAGTGAACGATGCCTCGTGTTCGGTGGAACTCGAGGCGAGTGGGGTTTGCGGCTATCAACTCGTCCAGGACGTGTGTTGATGTAGACTCGGCGAGTTGCCTGGCAAAAAACGGTCATTAGACAAGGGTGAAGCAAATTCAATGGACCACGGGAGAAGGTGGAAGTGCGAGCGTGAAAAACGGGAAACCTGTCCCTAGACGAGACCCCAATGCGCGCGATGAGAGGTGAACACATACCTGGAAGGTATCTTTTCGTGGAAGAAGTGGACATATCGCGCGTCGACATCGGTTGGGTCTATACGGTCCATGAGACTCAAGCATCGCGCGCAATGATCCAAGCGACGCACCTGTTCTCAGCACCCGCTCCGCAATGTCGTCAAACACACTCCCGCCCTGCATCACCATCACGCTCGACGCGATCTCGTCCGCCTTGTATGCTGCCGCGAGCTTCTGCACCGCGAGTGCTCGTAGTCGATGCACGCGCATGGCCGACATCGCGACGGTGCGTCCGCCTGCGTCTCCAAGCGAGCCTAGGCCATACGGTGGTGCGCCCGCTCCCCACGCACCGCCGCCCATGCCTCCGCCGCCGCCACGAAGGGAGCCGAGTGCCGCCGCAGACATGCCCGAGCTCGCACGCACAGAGAGCTCAGAGGCTTCGTCAATGAGTCTCCGTATGTGCGTGACCGAGCGGAACACGCCGGGGTCGATGGGTGGGGGCGTCGCTTTGCCCGGGCACGGTGGAGGGAGGAGTGGTGGGGGTGCTAGGGATGCGAACTGCATGTGTGGCGACCCGGGCGGGGGGTAGTCGCCGAGGCCTGTAAAGCCGCGGTCGCGCTGCTTTTGCGAGGCATTCGAGCGTGGAGGGTGCGTCGGGGAGGGGAGGGACGGGAGGGGAGGAAGCTTCTGATCTGCCGCAGAGAGCGTGACAGGGTCGAGGTTGAGGAGGAGGAGAGACTCGAGCAGCTCGAGTGGAAGTTGGAGCCATGGACCCTGGAGTACGCTCGCTTACCAGGAGTTTGGCTGGCGCAGAAGACGGAGGAGACGCACATGGTATGAGCTGATGTATCGCCAATGTTTGTTGCGACTGATGCAGAGGACGGGCGGGCGATCATCAGAACTCTCAGCTCCATGCGCCTTGCCTGCAGACGGTTCTTTCGCCTTTGCGCCCTTCTTGGACTTCTTCTTCTTCTTCTTTTTCGACGCGTTGTTGTCGGTCGCGGCTGACTCTGCGTGGGGAGGCGGAGCCGGCGTGGGGGAGCTCGATCGCGATGTATGCGTTGATGGCGGTGTGGGGAGCATCGCAGGCTCGTATTCGTCGTCGTCGCAGTGTGCGAGTCGCATTGCGGAATTAGTAGGGAAGAGGTTGAGTACGGGGACGAGGACAGAACGCTGAGCGCTGGAGCTGGGAGCACGGACCGGCCAGCTTCTGTATTCCTCTTTGGGCAGTCGGGCCGCCCGCAGCCGGCTACTTCAACATCATCAAACACCTTCTCTCTGACTGACTTCGTATTACCTCTTGACGCACAGATTCCCATGGCGCCGTTATGGGTGTGCTATGAAAGAGAGCCGTTCAAGTATCGCCACGGTCTTCCAATCTGGAATCCGAACACGCCCTCCTCCCAGGCGATCAAAATGGGCTCCGTACTCTTTCGAGACCCAGTCACAGGCGGATGGCAGGAGTTATTCAACACACTTGCGGCCGCTGATGACCAGACACGCTCGCCTAGGGACCATGTCAAGGTAGACTACGGCTTTTATATGGGTCCCCTTCCAGTATTCATGCCCAACGTGTTGACCTCTCGAAGTTTGGAGGAGATCTAGAAACAGCACCCTGGGTGCGTGCTTCACAACGCATCTGCCGATCCCACGATGCCCTGCTAAACCTGCTCGCAGTTCTTCAGACTTGCACTTTCGCCGCACCTCAGACTTCGGCGCGATCCTCCACCTCCAACTCCCCTGCGTCCTGAACACGATCGAAGCCACCGCACTCATGAAAGCCGAGATGCTGTCCAATATCGACCGCTGGCTGGAGCCCGCCAACGCCGACTGCCAGCTCGGCTTGCGAGACCAAGATCTTCTGTTCGTCGCGTGCACCAGCAAGGCGACGCACTGGACCATCGCTGCGTTCCAGGGCAAAAAGTTCAAGGGAAAGACCATTGCGCTCCGCCATACGACGGACTCCGAAACCTGTGTTACAGTCGACGACGAGACTGTCGCAGGCCCAGGCTTCAAAAGTGGCTCTTGGACCCTCACGACTTGAAACGACGCGCCGCCACCAGGGTTCACCCCTGACCCACGCTTTGATGGGTTGGACCCTCAACATCACTGGGCACCAGGACACCCGCTCTTCATGAAGTTCTACAAGACGAAGCGTCGATTCCGTAAGGGAATGGTGCCAACTTTAGTGGCACAAGCCGGGCCACACGTTCTACCACGGGGCGGCGACGGCAACGACGGCGGAAGTTCTGCTTCCGGATTCCTGAGCATAGAAGGTAACGATCTTTGCTATCACCCTGATGAAGTGTACGGTGTGGTATGAAATCTTCCTATCACAAGCTGCCGCAATTGGCTTACATAGCGCAGGATTTCGACCCCGTTGGTGATGTTCTCGATTATATCTTAGCGGTCAGCGCAATCGTCCATGCATCCTAGTGCCCACTGATGTCAGATCTCTCTCAGAACTCTGTCGCAGAGATTGCTATAGCATGTGACAGCGACTTGTACGACATCTTTAAGGTGCGTCCTGTGCTCTTCACATGGGACTCTCTTTGTGTTGATTGCACGCAAAGGACTGTGACATCCCGGATGATATTCGTGCTGGGTTAATGAGGATCGGGCCTCCTGTCTCTGTGGACGAACGTGGGGTGGGCTCAATTTCATACGATGCATGTGAAACGAAGATGACTTCGGAGCAACCTACAAACGCGATGGGTGCCTCAAATTCTCCCACTACTCCGGCGGAGAGTATCACCAGTCACATCGGTCTGTCGACAGCGGACGTGGCCTTCAGTAAGCGCTGCATCCTGAGCCCAGTATTGCTGTGAAATCCATCCCTTTCGTGGCATAGCCGTTGGACATGGAGCGGTGACATCCTCGCAGTGCGGTCACGGCGGCACACTAGTGCAGGGCGTGGCGTCGAGCAAGGCTGCTCCTGGCTCAACGCCAGGACTACTACCTCTGTCGCCGCGACTAGGCCCGCTCTTTCCCCACCCGCACTGCAGGACTCTCTCAACCAGTCCACACCCCAACAGCTGCTCGGCGCGGCTGGCATGCGACTCGGGGGTGAGGGGCCGCCAAGTAGCCTCCGACGCGCTCATATCGTGCACCTCTTGGAGCCATGACCATGGCATTACCACGCGTGGTGTCTAGGAGCTATAGATGGAATTTTTCATGTATACTGTCACGTCTCATTTCCTCATAATTATGCAGATGCATTTTTCCAGCGGCCCCTGAGCTTGCTAAACGCCCCCAGGCTAGGCATCAATCGACTTGAAGCTACTCATGTGTAGATCTGCCTCTGGTAGAGTCGACGAGCTCGGACAAATCACCCAAAGACGCAACGATGGGCCAGTGTTGACAATAGGCATTGTGAAACACTCTCACTTGTGCACTGACCTAGCGCGGCACCCAAGTGCAGCGGCGACACAACCTTAAACCCTAGTACAGGACGGATCCCACGAGGGGGCCTCTTGAAGGTCTCGCTCGGGCAACGCTTCGCTCTCTCCAGGCACCCCCATCATGTCGCGTTCCTTCCAGCCTCCACCTGCTCCATTCGGACTTCCCTTCTTTTCCCAAACTTCAACTTTTCCAGGAAGAGACACCGAACGTGTAGTTCGGGTTCAATGGGGCTCTCGCGTAGCGGGGTTCCGTTGCGAAGCCATTGAGGTACATAGACCCGTTCATAGCCGGGCGCAAGCCATCTCACGCTAAACTATACGTCAGTCCATCATTGCGAAAGCTACAGAGTACTTCGAGCTGCCTCTGCAGGACCGACACGTATTATCTGGCAGCATCAATGGCGTCCAGATGGAGATAACCGACGGCATCATGGATCTCTTACCTGACGGGGCGGTTGTGCTACTTGTGAAGCTCGAGTGTAAAGGACCTCCCCAGTGAGTACTCGGTCAAGTGTATCTGGATAAATCTATAAACGCCATCACGACTACAGAAATATTAGTCCTAGTCCAGACCTGAATGATGGATATGAACAGTTGGAAGGATGGCCCATAAGCCGACTTTTCGTGAGAACGTACGTTCCATCGAATAGTCAGAAGCTAATGCTGCGTGGCTCATTTTGAACCCAACAGTTTAACAGGGAAATCCATCACTATCGATGACGTTTGGTCTGTTGCCGACGTGAGGATGCGCATTGAAGAGAAAGAAGGCATTCCATCCAATCAAGTGAGGCTGATATATGCCGGCAAGGAGCTCCAAGACGGATATCCACTGTCACTTCATGGCGTACAGGAAGATTCCACTCTCTGTCTGATTACCACGCTCAGGGGAGGAAAACCTGTCATTTACCTTTTACCCCCGATATCCATGCCACTCGTCGACGTCTCTATCCTCCTCGTCCCTCAATGGCGCTTTTCCCACATTTATCCCCTCGCAAACATCAAACCCATCGCAGACTCCGGGAAAGAACGCGTCGCCTGGTCCGTCTCAGCCCGCCCCGACGGCACCCTCGTTGAGCACTGCTCTGGCCTGGAACTCTCCTACCTCTTCTGGGAGGCCGAGTCGCGCCACGTCCCCTCCTCCCCGCCCCTCAGCCCAAAGCTCGCCGCTATCGAGCACTTCGACCCCGCCACCCCCGCCCTCGACCCGACCTCGCCCACCGCGGTATGCCTCCCCTTCGCCGCCCTCCTCCCGTACCTCGACGACGCGCTCAAGCGGCTCACGCTCCACGTCACCGCGCGCAACGATTTCATCACCTACTGGCTCCCGAAGCTCTCGAAGGCGCCGTTCGTCGCGCTGCGCTTCCTCCCGCAGGCGGCGTACGCGCGCGCGGCGGAGCTGCGCGTCGAGCCCGCGCCGGACGTCGTCACGCGCGTGTTCATGCTCTTCCGCGGTGTCTCGGAGGCGGAGGCGGAGGCGGGCGAGTGGGCGGCGGCGCGTGCGCGTGCGGTGGACGGGGGCGTGGACTGGGCGGAGGTGGTCGGGGTGCGGCCCGAGGCGACTGACGCGGGCGTGTTCAGGGTGCTGGAGTGGGGTGCGATGGAGGTCCTGTGAGTGGTCTAAAACGGCGAGCGTGTCCGCGTGATGTATGCGCCGTGATGCGCTTGAGTGTCGGTCTGGTCGTGTAGCAAAAACCATGATTCGTTTCTCTCCCGGACGTGACCACCACGGATCACGTCCTACCAGCCGCCAGGGTGCAGTGCTGGGCGGTTCTCTGTTCTCATACTCGTACTCGGGAAACCGTGCTTCGGTGCGGTAAGGATAGACATTTGCGAGATGATGTGTGATTCGGATATACTCCGAGGGTCGATAGGCCCCCTTTGCGATCGGGATTTGAAGGGGGTGCTCACAGAATCCAGATTCACATTTAGCGGAAGCTATATTAGAATTCGCAGAGACAGCCCTCGTAGAGTGAGTATCGAGAGGTTCGATAGTTTTATAAAGTGTATTGATTGTAAGAGGGCGGAGGTCAGTGGGAGGACGCAAAGGGTCAAGAGCAACAATTGCAAAACAGGAACATACGTCGTCTTTTGACGTGCCGCCCCAGACCCTATGGCCTAAGATGGTTCACTGGCATGTTTCTCTGGCTCGTACACACTTCAGATCTTGGCTCAGATTGTGCGACAAACGTATCACCAATGGTGCAACAGGACCCGCGTGCCCCCGTTCCTCGACCGACGATCCACGCGAAGCCTGGGTGGCCAAGTGCATGATCTGTGGTAAGATTTCTCCTGCCTTACGTATCGTTTCATGCCGTTGCGACCGACTCAACCATAGCCTGCACAGGAATGCCTATCAGTACGCGCTCCACTTTCGCGCTTAGATCAAGTACACACACCTCGAGGGGACCGGTTTTTGCGCCGACAACCTCCTTGATCTTCTGGTCGCTCTTGAACGCAATGAAGGTGGGCATCTTAGGAATCGACGACGTGCGTCATGAGGGACACCGGGGACGCAGCACAAGGAAAAGAAAACACGCACCGCGCGGACGCCGACCGCCTCCGCGATATCCGTCGCCTCGTCGACGTCGACCTTGTAGAACTTGGCGCCCTCAAAACGGCCTGCGATCGTCTCGAAGATGGGATCCATGATCCTGCACGGGCCGCACCAGGTCGCCCAGAAGTCGAAAATAGCAACGGTGTCGCCGTTGAATCTTGATCTGCGTGTGACCTGATCAGCCTCGAGTACGTGGCTGAGATCAGCTGGGGAAGCCACTTACGATGTCTTTAAACTCTTGAAGGTCTTTTACAGATTGAACCATGGCGATAGTCTGATGTGGGAGGGGGATAGTAGGAACGTGTGGGTCGTGTGGGTGTAAGAATGGTGCGGCCTTCAGCTTCAAGCGGGGCTGTCCGGCTTTATAGGATGAGCAGCAGAGGGTATTGCATCCCTCTCCGGATCCTTAATCGGTTGCATGTTACGTCCAGGGCACGCGTCGACCACCGCAAGAGCCGGGGCAATGTTTCATTAACGATGACGGTTTCTTGCTCGCGACGTGACCGCTGCTCCTGCACTGCATCTCCGTCTCATCCCGATGAACTGAGGTCGCCCTGCGTGGCTAGGGTGACCGGTCTAGGCGGACAGGCCCGAGAATGTCCGGGGATGGACGAACGGAAACATGTCGTCTCCCACTGGTGCCCATCACACGTGAGCATTGAGTGGACGAAGACGCGATGAACGACCTGCCTACGATAGTGAACAAGCGCTCGATCGCGCACGCGAAGCACCTTCTCGCGGTCCAACTGAAGTCCAATTGGACAAAGCAGTACCTAGAGCATACTAGTAACTAGGGTATACGCGGTGGAGAAGCACTTTCTGAGACTGCGAGTGTTTGACTCACCTAAGTACACCACGAACGCTGCGCTCGAGGCACACAGACACTCTGCGACCAGGGTGGCACGGTTCCGTCGCCGCGTTGTATTCAACCACACGCCTGTGATAGGATGAGTCGCCGCCGAGTCACGACCATCAGTCCCTCGGAGAAGGTGTTCGCGACACCCACGATATGGCAAGGAATGGCTCCAGCACTCATGGAATGGAGAGCATCTCCATCCCAATTCCCAGCTAGGCAAGACGCTAAAGCCCGGTTTTGCAAGAAGATAGGGGTGTGGGGGGAACTGAGAGCTGCCGCTGTGCTCCTCGAGCGCCCGTGGCGACCAGCTCCGGCTTGGGCGTCGGCGCTCAGATCTTGAACCCCACCATCACTAGTACTTGTCCTTCGCTCCTTTGCAAGTTCTCTCGCACATGTCCTCATACCGCTCCTTATCTAATTTTGGTCAACTTCGAAGTGCGCGTCACTGTCGATGGTGATTTGATGGCCGTGAGCAGTACCTCAGTCTCCTGCAGACTTACCGCCCTCGGGCTACAACCCCGAAGCGACCCATAGCAATGGCATATGGGACCCGCATTGGGTGCCAAGTTATCTGATCGTTCTCGGAGGTGGGGCGTCGGTTCGGCTGGGGCAAGAGGCCGATTCAAATGGCGCAAGTGGGACCGGAGCTACCGAGGAGCGACGACGAAGGGCCAGGCGGTGGTGGCAGGTGAGCGCTCTTAGGAACACTACACAAGAACGACGGAGTTTGACTTGTCGAGAGGCTTAAAACCACGAGCCTAGGCCTGCCGCAGGTGAAATGGCGCCGGTTGTCCTCTGGGTCGTCCATTGATTGCAAAGCCAGCGCGAGAGCGGGAAGCAGGTACATAGTACTTAGGAACAGTACATAGTGTACAATGCGATGCTGGCACGCTTTCGCCGTCCGCCAATTTCCATCAATTTTTTCAAAAAGTTTGCGTCGCTCGCGTCAGGTCGTGCATGGGCGGTGGGACTTGACCCAGTTTTCGGAGCGTTCGTGCTTGCTCGCGTGCATATGTATACATAGCGTTGGAGTTGATCGGACAATCATTTCGGAAACAGCTGTAATTTGTAAACCCCCAGTTCCAGGCCTACTCCGGACGACAGCTCGCTCTCTTCAATCCTCCCATCATGCCGCGCTCCCTTCGACCTGCGCCCCAGATCCGGCGAATCGGGCCACCCCGAGATTCTACCTCGTCCCAACCCCCAACCTCCATGGCCGAACGTTTGATTCGAGTTAAATGGGGCTCTCGCGCAGTGGGGTTCCGCCGCGACGACGTCGAGGTACGCAGTTTTCCTTCACGATCTTGCGTCAGCTGTTTCATTCCAGACGAAACACCAGTCCGTCATTGCGAAGGCAAAGAAGCACTTCAAGCTACCTCCGCAGGAGTCGTACGCGCTATCTGGTAACATCAACGGCGTCCAGATGGAATTATCCGACGACATCATGAGTCTCTTGCCTCCCGGGGAGGTTGTCCTACTTGAGAAGCTCGAGTGTGAATCCGATGGACCTCCGTGAGTAATCTGTCAAGTGATCTTCAGTGGCCCATGATCCATGAACGTCTCCGTCCATCGACAAAGCAGCCCAATTCCAGATCTGAATGAACGTGCATCGTCCAAGAAACGTCGTGTAAGCAAGCTTTTCGTGAGTGGGTACGTTCGTTTTAGTCATTGGAAGGCTCCTGTTGTGCGCATGGCTAATGCAAGGACAGTTTAAATGGGGAAACTTTCACAATCCGCAACGTTTCGTCTGTTGACGATGTCAAGACGCGCCTTCAGGAGAAAGAAGGCCTTTCATCTGACATAAGGCTGATGTATTTCGGCAATCGACTCGCAGAGGGACATCCACTGTCATTCTATGGCATAGAAAAAGACTCCACCCTTGATTTGGTCCCCAATCTATTGGGCGGAAAGCCTGTCATTTACCTTTTACCCCCAAACCCCCTGCCGGTCGTCGACGTCTCCGTTCTCCTCGTCCCTCAATGGCGCTTTTCCCACATTTATCCCCTCGCAAACATCAAACCCATCGCAGACTCCGGAAAAGAATGCGTCGCCTGGTCCGTCTCTGCCCATCCCGACGGCACTCTCGTCGAGCTCTCCTCCGGCCTGGAACTCTCCTACCTCTTCTGGGAGGCCGAGTCGCGCCATGTCCCCTCCTCCCCACCCCCCAGCCCGAGGCTCGCCGCCATCGAGCACTTCGACCCCGCCGCCCCCACGCTCGACCCGACCTCGCCCACCGCGGTCTGCCTCCCCTTCGCCGCCCTCCTTCCCTACCTCGACAACGCGCTCAAGCGGCTCACGCTGCACGTCGCGGCGCGCAACGACTTCATCACCTACTGGCTCCCGAAGCTCTCGAAGGCGCCGTTCGTCGCGCTGCGCTTCCTCCCGCAGGCGGCGTACGCGCGCGCGGCGGAGCTGCGCGTCGAGCCCGCGCCGGACGTCGTCACGCGCGTGTTCATGCTCTTCCGCGGTGTCTCGGAGGCGGAGGCGGAGGCGGGCGAGTGGGCGGCGGCGCGTGCGCGTGCGGTGGACGGGGGCGTGGACTGGGCGGAGGTGGTCGGGGTGCGGCCCGAGGCGACTGACGCGGGCGTGTTCAGGGTGCTGGAGTGGGGTGCGATGGAGGTCCTGTGAGCGGTCTAAGATGGCGAGTACCTGTGTTTGCTCGATATACGCGCCGCGGTTCGCTTGAGTATCGGTCCGACTGTGTAGATTCAAGCCGTGATTCTTTTCTCTTCTCGTCCTTTTTTTGGATCCTCGTTTATTGCCCTCGAGGGCGGAGCCCTATGGTAGGCATAGCGTACAAAATGTTGGAGTGTACGGTATCGCATGTCAATGGAGAGCGTCGTCTGCGCGTACGCAACCCCCGGGAGCGGTCCCGAAGGCGCGGTGGACCGAAACCTGCCGGCAGGCGTCAGCCGGCGTGCTAGTGAACCCTGTGTGGGGTCGGGGTGTATTTGCATGAGTGGGTGAGCACGTGGGGGTGTAGAGGGAGAGAGAGACCAGAGCGTGTATAGTAGGAGTAATACATGGTGCGCATTTGCAGACAGCTGGGCGGGCGACAAAGAGGACGCCCGAGTTCGGGAGCAGCCTGACCCCCACCACCAACTCGAGAGGGATGCACACTCGATCGAACTACTCGGACTTCTCCTCCCGCACACGTCCGGCCCTCACCGCCCCCGCCACCTCCTCCAACCGCCTCTGCACCACCGGACGGACCACGAACCCCGCCGCGGCCGCGACAGCCAGCAGCAGCAGCACCACCGGGACGACCGACCCCGGGAGCACCCCGAAGTACAGCGGCTCGACCCTGACCACGAACGACACCGGCTCGCGCGCCCGCCGCGCGTGCGCGCCGTCGGCGGACGGCGTGAGCACCCCCGTGCTGACGACGCGCACGCGCGCGAACCGCCGGCGGGTGCGCCCGCGCGCGGCGAGCCGGACGTGGGCGAGGTGCGGCGCGCGCAGGCGCTGCACGAGCTCGTCCGGCGCGAAGGTGTCGATGTGGAAGTCGGCCGGGGACTGCGCGGCGCCCCGTCAGCATACGTGCATCTGGAGGAGTGGAGGAGTGGAGGAAGGGGAGCGCACCGTAGCTGGCCACGATATGCGGAGCGTGAACTTGGTGAAACCGTCCCACGGCGGCGCGTCGGTGCCCAGGGCGAGCCACAGCTCGTGCGGGCACGCGCCGAGCGAGTCGAGCGTCGCAGGCTCGCACACGTCCGCGATGGACGCGCCGAGCGGGGCGGGCGTGACGTGGAAGAGCTGCTCTGCGGCCTCGGGAGACAGCGTCGGCCTGTATGCGTGCGTGAGTGAAGGCGCAAAGATATACAGAGACGGCACGCACCACGCCGCGGCTTGCGGCAGCGGGAGGTCGGGGCTGAGAGAGACGTCGAAATTGACGATCTCGGTATTCGCCCAGGCCTGCGCAGCGCACGCCAGCAGCGCGAGCAACTCCGTTGGCAGCCGCATGCGTTCCCTGCGCTCGTCGAGTTCGAGGCGGTGGGTGGTGGTTCGAGTCGAGATGGTATGTCGGCTGGACGCGCGTGATCGCTGCTGAAGATGATCCGAGAGCGCCCGGGACGCGGGGCGCAGCCCAATACGGCAGGCGTTTAGGTTCGAGAGCACCACCTGGCCCGTGCCCTCAGGCTGGAGCGGGCCCGTCACCTGCCTCGCCCGGGGCCCCGCACTATATACTCCTCTCTGTCCTGCCCGACGCAGCCAGCAACCTCGCACCCAACAACCCCTCGACGCGCACTCGCATTCACCGGTACCATGGCCGAGACCCTCCGCGCCCAGCACCCCCCGGCGAGTGAGTAGTACCCGCGAGCGAACGCACCGCACCTTATGCCGTTCCACATACGCTCAGTGAAGGTCGGCGGACGTCGCCTTTCTGTGACCTCGCGCCCCAAACCCGCTCCTCCCGTGTACGCCCCCCACCGCGCGACGTCTGACGTCATTCCTCACCGTACGCCGTGCTCTCAGTGAAGCGCAGAGGACGGAGCCAGCCCCCGCGGACACACCCCCGGACTACCCGCGCCCCGCGCCCCCGAGCGACGTCGCGGACGAGCAGCAGCACCACCAGCAGCACCACCAGGACGACCACGAGGAAGTCCCGAAGCGCAAGCATGGCACTGGTGGCGACGAGCATGAGCGCCGCCTTCAAGAAAACCTCTACTGCCGCGCGGAGCAGAACCGTCCTAGGCACGAGTTCCAGTCTGGCCAAAGAGGCGCGACTGGCGGAGCACGGATTGGCCAGCCTGCGGGCAAGACCCTCGGCGCGTGAAGACGTACTCCCGTCCACTGCCTCACGTACGTCCCGAACAGTTTGAGAAGTCTTCCAGAGGCTTGTACGATATGAGCGCGCAATGTACTGTACCATAACCTCCAAACTTGTACCTTTCCAATGCTGTCCACTTAACGCAGACGATGAGGCTGTGAGAGATTTTGGGTGCATGGGCGCAAGCGATCGTTTGCTTGGATGCGAAGCATACATAGTCATATGCATGGGGAGAGATGCAGGGCGAAAGCGAAGAATACAGATGATCGTCACAGACAACAACACAAATCGAGCCTATGCAGTCTTGGCCTTCTTCCCCCGAGCCTTCTTCGGTGGTGCAGCCTTCTTCTCCTTCTTTGACGCGATAATGGCGGACACGTGCGCGAGGGCGGCCTAAGCAGAGAAATAGTTAGTGCTCGTGGTCATATACAGGAGGAAACCGAAGCGACGACGAAAGCAGAAGAGAAACGTAGAAAGAAAAGTGTAAGCGCCAAAGTGTCGGGCAAACCGCGGCGAGCACCGAACGGGACCCGATAGCGACATGGCGCGTGCCCGGAAGGGATTTGATCGGTCCCAAACCAGACCGCGTATTCTTGCAACCATGTCCACACCCAACCTTCGTATGGCCTTACGGCAGTCCAGAGGGCTCTAGGATGGTGCATTCCGAGTAGTAAAGCGAAGGAAGAGCCCATTTGCGAGGGCCAATGGGGGATACGGACGAGAGAACCAGCGCGAAAGGAGAAGGAAAGACGGTGGACTACTCACTGTCCTGAGGTCGGGGCGGTAGCCGCGCTTGGCGAGCTTCGCGGTAATGCCGGCTGCGCGACGGCCTCCCGAGCGGGGGCGGATGACCGTCTTCGCGTACCCGGAGGCGACGGCGGTGGGAGCGGCGCCCTTCTTGCGGGTGATGAGCTCAATGCCGGCCTCGGTGTCCTTGATCAGGATGGCCTGAGGGCAAGGCGAGAGCGCTAAGCATGAGCGAATCCACGGACGTGAGACGTCGTGCGCACCTTCTCGTTCGCGAACGAGCAGTACTTCTGCGAGTGGACTTTTACCAGGTTTCCCTGATGGCGCGCACGTCGGCACCTCGGTGAACGCAGAGGAGACTTTGGCACTCACAGGCTCCCGAGAGAGGATGGGGCCACCAGGGAGGCTCTTGACAATGTATGCATTGTTGTTCTGTGCGACCGAGGCGGACGGTCAGTCGAGAGGAGTCTTCGGAACGGCAGCGGGGAGCACTGACGCGGAGGAGGAGCCACTGGAGGTCGCTGGACATCTTGACGAGGGTGCTGTACGCTACTTTTTGGTGCGGGGGGAATGTCGGGTATGGTGGCTGAGAAGAACTATGCAGTAGTAAACACGAGCAAATACATCCTTTCGTCATCCAGCCCTAACCCTGTCGCAGCCACCTTGCCTCGGTGTTTCGGACTCTTACGGCCGACTTCAATCCGTTGATTCACCGCTGGTACGAAGACGAGGTCCGCGTACAGGAAGGCTGGTCCCAGAATTGTCAAGCGACCTTCATCATCGTCCGGGACCGTCATCGCCATCCTGCCTCCACACCATCGTCCTTTTCAACTCTTGACTTCTTGCGCGGTATGGGTTCCTCGCCCAACTCGCCTGCTTCCTCCTCATCGACATCCTCTACACCTCTTCGGCGTTCCCTAGGTCGCCTGGCGCCTCCGTGGCCATGAGCTTGCGCTTCTCCCCTTGTCCGTTCATCGCCTCAGGGACAGGACTTTTTCCGAAAGGCAGACTCCTCAGTGTCTGCTTCCCCATCTGTTTCCTCTTCCCGCGGCATCTTAAGGGGATCCTATTTTATATTTGTATAAACGTAGCAGCCCTTGCTCGAGATGAATGGACTGACATGACCCCAGTTCTTCAGACTGCGCCAAAGAAACCGTCTCAGGGCTGGCCAAACGATTTGCGCATACCACGAGGACGGGCCGGATTGCGCTTGTCGTGTTGTCGAGCTCCCAAGTGCTCTTGCTCTCCTTCAGATCGTCGTCTCGGACGAGATGACGCTTCAAATAGCCTTCGGCGCCAGCCCGCGGACCCCATGGGTAGTAGCAACGCCGGAGCATCACCTACCCGACAACAATGCGCACAATGTCCCCCCACCCCGCAACAACCGTCAACGATTCCCTCCTACCGCCCGCGCGCCTTCGCGCACCTCCTCGTATTACCCTGACGTGCGTCCCGGGGATGTCGAGGATCATGTGTCCGCTGGCATGCCCGACGCTCGTCCCCGCCGCTTCGCACTGCGGGCCCTCGAGCCACGTCCGCGCTCATGTTCACGCCGTCGGCGAACTCGGCGATCACCGCGTCCTGGGGTTTCACCGTTGTGCGGGAGACTCCCCTTGCCCTCGTGGGTGTGTCGAAGTGGCAGTACTATGAAATCCTGAGGAAAGACTCAAAGGTGAAGAAGGGGAATTATATCGTCGAGCGTGTACGCGCGCGCGCGACGGCGGGCCCGAGTTTAGCCCCGAATTGGCTGCCAGTCGACATCGTAGAGGGAAGACGTCGCCGCGATCGTTGCGGTCAGGATGTTCAACATTGTGCTTGCAATCACGGAATGTAAACCACGGCGTTGCCAAGGCGGTGTCGTGGCGTCGCATTCCACACTTTCAATCCAAACACGAATTGGGTTTTCAATCATAATGGTAGTACATAGTAACACGAGTCCTGCGACTGCGGCGATCGTAAAATCCACGTTTCCTGTCTGCTCCATAACCCATCCCACGTCTCAAGAACATGACTTAAAAGTCCTGAGAGTATATACCAGTGCGCGCGGCGGATGGCTCTGGGGCTCGACCTATCATTCAACCGTTAGCGGACATTCGGGCGCAGAGACAACCCAGAAACTCACCTTCTCTGTTAGCAGCGTGCTTCACGGGAAGTTGCAGTCGGAGGTCTCGCTGCCGAGGCTCACGCAGCACGACCTGAAGTTGCTGAGGCGCTCCGAGATGGAGTCGGCCGCGCAGTCGTTCCCGTCCTGGAACGACCCGTTGAGAGCGGCGCAGCAGCTCTGGGTGTTGCCGACGTCCTGGGACCCGCCGATGTCGATGCACTTGCAGGCCTGGGCGGGGATGACGGCGGCGACGGCGAGGACGACGAGAGCGAGGAACTTCATGGTGGAGAGGATGCGATTAGTTGGGTGAAAGTGTTAGACGGTTGTAAGAGGGACTGGGTTGTCGTGGGATGAGGTTCGTCGAGCTCCATGGATGGCCTTTTGTACTTTTTGTCCGTCGGTATTTCCGTGCGGGTCGGCGTAGCCAATGCCCTGTGCGCCAACGCTCCCTGACCCACTGCACGACCCGTGAGCGCGGTTAGAGCCCTGAAACTTGAATTTGCTCCTTTGGGCGTGGCACAGGATCATGCACACTTTGATGTCGTACGTACTCACCGCGTTCGCACCGCTGCAACCGCAGCGACCGCGCTGGTTGCTGTGGGGAGTCGCGCATAGCATGCGTCCTCTGCTAGTGCGTCATTTGGTCATGCGTTTCTCTCTCCGGTTTGCGCACCTGGATATTTAAGCATTGAGTGTCCGTTCTCGTATAAAGGCGTGGCTGCGTCCAGTTCGGCGATGCATGTTGCTCCGCGAGCGCCAACGGTATTCCGTCCGATGGCGACTGAGTAGAGTCCACGCCGCGACCGCGTGTGACGATCCGTGGAGGAGAGGTGGACGATGTGGGGTAGGCGGTGAGGCGTAGTGATGGGCGATGTAAGGGGCGATGTAGGAAAACTTAGCGGCACGGTAGGTCGATGCCAGTAGTCGAAATTGCTTGAGCTCGAGTGAGACTATAAGCCGCCAGACCCCTTGGAGTGAGGGCCAGGCGGCGAGGCGTGTAATTGGACGAGTCGAAATGCAATCGAGGCGATCTCAGGCGGCCTGGTCGTCGTCGAAGTAGGTTGGCAATGGGTGGGCTCGAACAAGGCGCAGTGGGGCACGAGCGCCTGGCCCAACTGGTGCCTTCTAGGCGCGGGTGACCGGATGGGGAGGGGCGCGCTAAGGGCTGTCGCCGCTTTCATCTCCTCCCATGTACCCGCTTTTCCTACCCCACGGGCTAGAAGGCCTGAGGCGGTCACGTACAGGCCTCATGACCAACTGCTGCAGTTTCCAATCACGTTTTCTGCACAGAGATCGAGTCCGACGCTGCCAGTGCGCGTGAGCGACGCCGTCGTACCGCAGAGTCATATTCACCTGGTATTGCTGTGTTGCACATTCTTACGGAGTTTACCGAGGATTCACCCTTGTATCAGGCTCGACCATTCCTATCCGTAAGTACCTGCACGGCTCCAATAACATGCGGTTAAACTGCTCAACTGATTCTAGACAACTTCTAGTATCAGGTTCTACTACCTCATCCTGGAAGTCACTTGTTGGTGTCAGACTGCTCACTCGGGTTACGGTCGAGAGCGCCGCGTAACATACATAACCCTTGGGTGGTCTCCACCTCTCAGTCGAGCGAGTGGTTGGGCACTCGGCGGCGGCTGAGCCCAAGCGATACAGAGGATGTTTTCGGCCCGAACGGTACAAACGCTGACGTATCCATGGAGATTGAGATCAACACCGCAGCTCAGACTCGGACCGTATTGCTGCCGCCGCAGGCTGTCCGGTGTCCACGCGACTCTGACATAGGTTCTATGACCTGAGGTTGTCAGCTGAGAGCTCTCCAGCAAGCCTAAATTCCCTCGGAACAAGACCAGGATCCTCGCGTAACAGCGCCAGTGTCAAGATCTCTACTAGCCGGCAGAGGGCCAAGACTTTCACCCACTTATAACCATGTTCGACCCCATGCGACATGCTCAGACTTCCCATGCGGCTCCTTCACCACCCATGGCTGGCTCTGATGGGGTTGCTAGTGCCCGCCGCTGTCAATGCCGACGTTCTCAGCCTTTCGACTCTCGACTGGAGACTCAGCAACAAGAACGGATCCATCGTCGTGCCAGCGAAAGTCCCCTCACAGGCCCATCTTGATTTGGTCGAAGCCGGGATCATCACCGAGCCTCTGTTGGGCATTAACGGTATGGCCAACATCCACTTGCCAGAGATTGCTTGAGGCTAACGTCTCGCGCTGTCTCGCAGACTTTACCCAGCGCTGGGTCGCCTTCGACGACTGGACGTACACAGCGGATCTGACACCACTCGTGGAAACCTGTCCCATGGCACGAAAGCGCTTCTCGTCTTCTACGGCCTCGACACCATCGCAAACATAGTGAGTGCAGCCTACCTGAATTGCAGGCTACCCATGTGATCTGATTGCTGCATCAGACGGTGGCCGGCCACGAGGTCGCATGGGTCAACAACGAATTCCAGCAGTATGTCTATGACGTGACCCATCTCATCACGGCCCCTGTGCACGGCCACACCAACCTGACCGTCGCGTTCGAGTCCGCCTGGACATACGGTCTCAACGTCACTTCTCGCCCTGATGTCGAGTGGGTCGACATCGGCGGATACTTGGATGTGCGTGTTATTCGGCCCTCTCGGGAGTGTCGCGCTCATTGCCCGTCGTAGTTCGAGTTCCCCAACGTTCGCCATGTCATCCGTAAGACTCAATCTGACTTTGGATGGGATTGGGTGCGTGGCCTCTGACTATGTCTCCTGTTGTCTAACAAATCCCAGGGCCCGGCGTTCTTACCTGTCGGCATTTTCAAACCGGCCTACATCGTCACTCTCGACTCTAAATCCAGTGATCACACTACATCCGCATCCCATCCCCTCCTCGCGTCCACCAGCGGGCCTGTTTTCTTCGAAGAGACGGCGCTCGAGATATCGAGGCAAGGCCAGAACACCATCACCCAAGCAGACCAGACCGCCGATTGGCTCGTCAACGTCACCCTCGCCGTCCGTTCTGTCGTCCGCTCACATGCCCCGACCGTCACAATCGACATCCCCGAGCTCAACATCACATCTGGAGCTCTCTCGGTGTCCTCCATCCCCGCCGACACCAGCGCGCCGACGTTCGTCCACGCGAGCTTCATCGTGCCAGCCGACGCCCCCGCGCTCTGGTTCCCGCATACCCTCGGCACACCCAAGCTCTATAACTTCACCGTCACGCTCTCCCTCGCACGCGGCGCTCGCGAGCTTCACGGTTCGCAGTGGGTTCCGGACGATCGAGCTGATCCAGGACGCGTACTCGCAGGAGGATATCGACGCGCGCGGAATCACGCCCGGGGATCAATGGCACTTCAACGTGAACGGCAAGGCGTTCTACACGGTCGGGACGAACATCATCCCGTTCGACCCGTTCTATGCGCGGATGACATCCGCGCAGGTCCGTTGGGTGCTCGAGAGCGCGGTGCTCTCAGGTCAGAACATGGTGCGCCCGACCTAGTATTGCTATCTGGAACGCGCGCTCACTCCCCACCCGCAGTTACGCGTGTGGGGCGGAGGGATTTACCAGCCGTCGGACGAGCTCACGGGCGGGTACGACTTCTACTCAGCGTGCGACGAGCTCGGGATCCTCGCGTGGTCGGAGCTCATCTTCTCGGACATGATGTACCCGGTCAACGACTTCCTTCTCGAGGGCGTCGACGCGGAGGTGCGGCAGAACGTACGGCGGGTGAAGAAGCACCCGAGCAACGCGCAGTGGGCGGGCGGGAACGAGATCGAGGTGATCGAGCTCCTGTTCCTCGAGCTCAACATCACGAACAATATGACGCATTATCTGGGCGAGGTACGTTGGCCGTTTCGTTCGTTCCGGGTGTGAGGCTACACCTTCGTAGTTCCAAACGCTCTTTGGGAGTACTTGCACGACATTGTGTTGGCCGAGGAAGTCGGTGAGTCGGAACGCTGCGCGTGAGGAGTGAGTACTGACGTCGCGTAAGGTCGCATACACGGATTGTTCGACTACCAACGGCGTTCTGAGTCTGGATCCTACCTAATTCGCTACAATAACAAGACCGAGGGTTTCATCTATGGCAACACCGGTACGGGGACACCGAACTGGGATCTACATTGCAGGTACTAAAGACACCCGTTAGAACGCTAAACTACAACACCTCACAGGCCTTCGACTATGGACGTACCCCGTCTCCGCTTCGTCAACGAGTTCGGGTACGCGTCCTCTGCGAATCGCGCCGCCCTTCAACGCTCACCTCCACGTCTCAGGTTCCATTCCATGCCCTCCTTCTACAGCTGGGAAGAGGTCCTCGAGAGCCCCGAAGACTTCAGCTTCAACTCCACCGTCGTCGCCTCACGCGATCACCACCCTCCCGCCGGCGGCTTCGCGTTCCCAAACCCCAAAGCGAACCAGGGCCAAGCCCAGATGACCAGGGCGTGGAGCTCTGGCTTCCCACCCCGGAACCACCGACCGAACCAGACCTTCGCCCAGTGGTGCTGGAGCACCCAGATCTTCCAGTCCCTCAACATGGTCTCCGAGATCGCGTGGTACCGCCGCGGCGCCGGCCTCGGCGAGAACAACCTCGGCGCGCTCGTCTGGCAGCTGAACGACATCTGGCAGGGCGTGAGCTGGTCGTCGATCGAGTACTCCGGGCGCTGGAAGGTGCTACAGTACGGGATGGCGGGCATCTTCGCGCCTGTCGCCCCCATCCGTTCTGGTACGCTGGGAACGAGACGCTGGAGGTCATGGTCGTGTCCGACCGGTGGGACGCGGTGTCGGGCGAGGCACAGATGACGTGGTACGACTGGGCGGGCGAGGAGCTGAACTCGTCCACGGTGCCGTTCGAGATCGCGCCGGTGAACGGGACGACGGTGTTTGAGGCGACGGGGCTGAAGAACTTGCTGCCGCGGGAAGAACGCGTCGGAGGTGTTCATGCTGGTGAACGTCTCTGCAGAGGTCGATGGCAAGACGGTGACGCAGGAGCAGGTGGTGAGTGCTGCCCTGGTTCTGGATGTCGAGCTGAGTGCTGATGCGTACGCAGTTCACCCCCGCTTCGCTCGCGTTGCTCCCTCATTGACCCCGAGATCGAGGTCGTCGCACGACAGTCTTACCTTCACCCTCTCCGCGAAGGGAGGCGTCGCGCCCTTTACGTGGCTCGACCATCCGGCCGGTACGGTTGGATACTTCCGGGAGACGAGGACGGGAACCTGCTCAATGGGTTCTACCTGATCCCGGGCATCGACCGCACAGGTGATTTCGCCACGTCTCTTTCGCAGAATGTTTGACTGACGACGCGCTCCGCAGTGCAATTCGTCCTCAACCCGACGCTATCCAAGATCTCCAACCCTGATCCTGCGACGTTTGTCGTGCGCTCGCTGTGGAACAACACTCATCTGTAGACCCGGATCCTGTTCTACTTTGTACCCAGCCGAAGCCTTCATTTCGACGGCAATAATGGTGATACTTTTGCACCGTGCACAACAAAAGCAGCGTGTTTCACCACGGCCGTCGCTGCGTCGGTGGAGCGTCTTCGTTGCAGAATCGACCTCAGTGCCGTCAAACAACGATATTGGGCTTCAATCATAGTACAAAGCATATTCAACTTCTCAGCCACGTCTCTGACCGCTCCAAAGCCCCTCCTTATTTCTAGAACGAAGCGGCGGGTGCTCCCGATGATCGAGAGCCCCCCTCCGACGGGCCGATGGCCACTTGACTGTTAGCCCAACCATTAGCGACGGTTCGACACGAATCTCCCGCAAACGCACCTTGTACGTTGCCGGCTTGACTCAAGGGAAGTCGCAGTCCGAGGTCTGGCTGCCGTGGCTCTCGCAGCAGGACCTGAAGTTGCTGAGGTGCTCCGAGATGGAGCTGGCGTTGCAGTCGTTCCCGTTGAGGAACGCCCCGTTGAGGGACGCACAGCACGTCTTGGTGTTGCCGACGTTCTGGGAGCCGTTGCTGTCGATGCACTTGCAAGCCTGAGCGGGGATGGCGGCGGCGACGGCGAGGACGACGAGAGCGAGGAACTTCATGATGAAGAGGATGTGATGGGTGGCTGGGTGAATGAACGATGAAGTGGTTGTGGGATGGGGGTCGACGAGGTCCCCAGACGGCCTTTTATGTTCTTCGCCGGTGGATGAAAGCCATATTTCTCTTTACTGACAGACATGAACCATGCCTTGTGCGCCAGCACTATGACGCTCTCGGGAGCTGTGAAGCTGTGGTTAGCACCCTGGAATCTAAACTTACACCTTGAACGCGCCTTGGGATATGGACGCTTTGATAGATGCTCGCCTCGTCGGCGCCGCTGCCGTTGCGCTGCCGGGCGCGGCATTGACTGTGGTGGTTGCTGTGAGAAACGCGCTCGTGCGCGTCCGCTGGGGCGTCCTCCCTGTCATACGTTGACTTCGCCGGCCTGCGCACCGGGAACTTTGAGCATTGGGCGTTCTTCCTGGTCAAATTCGTAGCTACAGCAGTGCGCGTTGCTGCTGTACGAGCGCGGCCGACAATTTCGTGTTTGACGGCAGCGGCCAGCGTGCTACGATCAGGCTTGATGTAGAGGTGGAAGGGGTCAGGCAGTACGATGTGAGTACGCATCGTACCAGGCAACTTGCAGGCAAGCAGCGGAGGCGGCATGACCGTCGTCACGGTCGCGGAATCTGAATACGAGTTGTGAGCTAGCCGCCGCCGCCTTCTTTCCCCGTGTCCAGAGCGCGCGCTCCCGGCACCTGCCAACACTTGCGCCAGGGAGCTAGAGTGCAGGGATCACCTTATGCGCGTACGCCGACCACGCGCTCCGAGGTGGACGTGCGCGCGCAGGTTCATCCGACCCTCCAGCCAACCCCAGCCCAGAGTCGGCACCTATTCCTCCCTCTCGAGGTCGGAACGCCGCTCATCGTACATCTCCCGAACGACCCTCAGGGCGCTGTGCAAGCATCGAAATAGCTGCAAACCCTGACCAGCGGTGTGGGGGCCACCGCCCAAGGGTTTAGGTCGGCTCGCGCTCGTGGACGTCTCGGTATGTGTGAAAAACAGGTGAACGGCAAGCTGGCGATGCAGGCGGTTGCTTCGCGTTTCAATCCCCCGTCATGTGCTAATATTTCAGGGGCTGAAGCAGCTCGACCTGTCATCACAGCCGTCAGCGGATGGTTCAGCTTCAAGGGGAGTCATAGTCGGAGGTATGGCTACCGAGCTGCTCGCAGCGCGACCTAGACTCACTGAGGTGTTGGAGTTGGCGGCGCTGTCGTTTCCGTCTTGGAACGAGCCGCTGAGGGAGTACTAAGCGATCGCTGAGGTCACCGGTTGTCGCTTGTATGGCGCGAAAGAATGTAAGTCTTCAGATAACCCGAGACAGTATGGCGAAGGGCGCCGAACGGGCTGTGGCGAGGACGCGTCGCGTACTTGGTGGTCATCGCGGGGGGCATCCTTCGCTCTCGTCCTGTGCAGGCAAGGTTGAGCAAATGGTGCAGGTGCGCGAAGCAGACTGAAGAGACTACTCACCGAAAGAACGAGCGATGATGAATGGCATACTCATAACGCACGACACGCGGCGCGGCGCAGTCAGACAATGACGGACGGAAAGGAGACTAAATAATGTGTCAAGAAAGAACAGCGTACATGATCACCAGCACGCATCGTCGTGAGGGACATCATGGAACACACTCCTGTCCGAGTGCCAAACCAGTCCGCACACACGTGACGCGACGTAGAGACTGTGATTGCAGCGAGCAAGATGCGACGGAGTATCAGAACGAGACCGAGGAGCGGGCGCGATGATATACTAGACAAAAAGAGGGTCGCGCGATCGCACGCGCCAAGTCGAAGTAACAAGTCCAGTGTGGGTGCGAGGGTCGGGATGCGAATGTGGGTGTGGGCGCGGTGGGATTAAAGGTAGAGGGTCTGTAGCTAGCTAGCCGGGGCCAATGCGCAAGGTCCGTCCGTGTACGTACATAGAGGGGGTCGTGATATGTTCATCATACATCGTCTTCCGCTCTACTGTTCGTGGTCTAGTAGCCGTACCCGCCATTCCCTCCTTGCTGCGGTGGCGCCGCGCCGGGGGGCAGGCTGAAGTTACGCGAGTACCGGTTGGGGTTCTGCGGCGGTGGCGCCTGCGACGTCGGCCTCCGTCCTTGCTGTCGACTCACGCGCCGCACGCCTTGTCCGGGCGCGGGCACGGGTCCGTTGTCGGACAAGAGATCCCACGTTGACGGTTGCTCGGGAGCGCGGAGACCTCCTCCGGCTCGCCGACGAATGGCGTTGTGGTCTGGTCGTCGAAGCCTGCCGACTGAGGCGAGTACGAGTACGGGTTCTGCATCTCGCGCGGGTACTGGGCCGACATCGTCGACTGCCGCAGCACACCGCCGGACTGGAGACGCGCTGCTCGAACGACGCCGGGGTCGAGAACTCGTCCTCTTGCGGGCTGACAAGGCGCTGGTGTGAGCCAACGTCCGATGTGTACCCTCCCTCCTCGGACGAGCGGGAGAGCGCAACCGTGGACACTGACGGGGTTTGCGCGGCGCCTGGGCGACCAACGGATAGGGGAGTGGGCAGCATAAGCACTTGCCCGCTGCTGTCATGCCTTGGTCTTGGTGAACTGGCATACGACGACTCGTACGTGCTCTGGTCGAACTGTTGCGGGGAATACTCAGGGGTGGAGACCATCGAGTAGCGATGACCGTCGGGCCTGTCAACGAAACATGAGCATTGAATCAAACATAGACCGGCTGTACGCACCTCTTAGGCGGGTCGTATGAATCGCGCGGTAGCGCCGGCTGATGCCGGCGATCGCGCTCAAACTCGGCCCAGCGCTTCATGACGATGTGCGACGAGTCAAACTCGCCCTCCTTGTCGCCGTGGTCGGCGTCCTTGCCCTCGCCCGCGACCTGGCGCGTCTGGCCCCACGAAAAGTCGTCGAAATGCCAGAAGGAGTACGACGGAGAACACCGTTCCAGATGGGCAGGGAGAGGAGGTAAACGAGCATCCATCCGACGTACGCGATCTTGCGCGAGGTGATGACGATGAGAAGACCAGGGAGACCAAGGACGATTGCGAGCAGGATGAGCGGAATGGTGGTGTCGGGACCCCCCGGAATGATGGAGGAGACGATGAGGTAGATGGTGAACGAGATGGCGGCGGGGAGGACGAGGGTACCGGCGAGTTCCATGCCGACGACGAACTGCATCGAGAAGCAGAACGTACCACACAGGTCGCGTACAAGGAGGAGCTCGGCGAGGTTGTGGATGGTGGAGTTGATCCAGCGACGGCGTTGCGAAAGCAGAACGCGGAAAGTGTCGGGGACAACGGTCTTGCAGACGGCTTGGGGACAGAAGACGTTCTTGCGCTTCGGGAAAGTCTTCAGCATGAGCGTAGTCAGGTAACGATCTTCTCCGAGTAGCAGCAAGTTCTTCTTGTGCAGGTGTCGACGACATTCTCCGAGTAGTGTTCGACAACATCCGGGTTCGCGAGAACAGGAACCCAGTAGCCCTGATCGCCCTTCGGCGCCTTGATGCGGTACATGCTGAAACAACCGGGCAAACAGGTAACACCACCGAACATGGACTCGAAGGCCTTGTTGAGATGGTGGGAAATGTAGTACTCAAAGACTAAGGGGGGGAAAGGGAGATCGATATATGCGCTCATAGGAAGCAGAAATGCACTCACCTTGAATCATCGTGACCCACGTCTCCGCCTTGTTCGCAATCTTCGTCTCTCCGCACAGGCCCATGATCTCGTAGTCGTTCACCATGCATGACACCATCCGGCTGAGCGAGTCAGGGAAAACCTTCGTGTCGGCATCAACGCAAAGCACAAGCTCGTATCGGTCCGGGCTGACGCCAGTGGCGCGCCAGATGGAGTTGAAAAACTCGTACTCGAACGTCGTCATGCGCTCGTCGAACATCACCTTCTGCATGAACGACATGAGCATAATTTGCGAGTCACGCTTGCCTCGGTTGCCGGGTTTGCGTCTTTCTCCTCGAGTGGGTTTCCGACCTTCGCCACCAGCACGACTGGAACGCGCTGTTGTTTCGAGCCCTCGACGGTGCTGTTGTCGTATGCGTAGAATCCGGCGTAGACTTTGGCCATGTTGTGTCGCTTGTGGCCGTCGGCGATGGCGACGTACGAATGAGGTTGGACCTCGGAGGGGGGGATGACAAACTGCTTCATCATCGTCAAACAGATCTCCGGGGTGGTGAGCGCGTTCCCTGCACCCTTGACCATGCCGTCAGCGATGATCATGATGAGCTTGTGGCTATTGGGATAATTCGTGGTTGCAAGCGAGTCCAATGTTGTGCGAAGACCTTCAACCGACTCGGAGTAGGCAGTTACAAGGCAGATGGTGTGAACGAGGGGGTAGTTGAAGGGCTGGAAATCGGGAGGAGGTTGCTCAACGACGTTGTGAAGAGGGAAGGGGCAGGGGTTGTCAGCGAAAAGCCTGGGATCATTGACGAGTGACGTTGAGCTTCGAGATTGGCCGAAGGGAGTGTCCGGAGGAGAAGGCTTCAAGCTCCTTGCACTGGAGTAAACGCTGGCCACACCACTGCGGGACTTGGGAGGTTCCAGCATACCATACGCAGTTGTGGGACGCCCGCTAACGCCTGTGATCGCATTCTCCGACGGGGTAAAGCGAGATGTGCTAGGGAAGAAGGTCTTGCGCTTTTCGCCTCCCTTGGCGAGGCCGTTCTTCTGTACGTTGGGACGGTACCGGCTGGGGGCCGGTCGGTAGATGTCGTCCGTCCAGTTCTCGATCTCAGCAGCCCTCCGCATCCGCTCTGCGTACGACTCGCGCTCGAAGTTGCCCAGCTTCCACGAGAAGAACCACGCGAAAAGGACAGCCATGACGAATCGAATGCCGACGACGCCGATGATGAACACAAGAGAGACGTAGAGAACCACCTCCGACGCCACGCATCCGATGCTGTTGGTGTCGATGTATCCGACAGTGACGATGTCTTGCAGACAGCGACCGATGGGACGCTGAGCCGTGCGCAGGAAATACATGCTGAGATCCCTGCCGTTGAAAGTGCCGTCACCTTGCTTCAGTTTGTCGAAGAGGCTGGGGTAGGAAACTTGGGTGTTATCGAGCCAGTTGAGTAGGTCCAGATCAAGCACGGTGCTGCGAAATCCAATCAGTCGCTGTCAAATACCTCAAGTGCGCTCTACACTCACGACTCGAAGACGGCAAGGTTGCGCGCGGAGTTGTGAACGTTGTCCCAGGTGTAGTACACCTGGCCCTGTGGCCTCAAGGCCGCAAGATCGTTGCGGGCGGTCGACGTGATGTGACAGGTGGTGTCCTTGTCGGAGTTGGTGGTATTCACGGGCGACGTGCCAAACTGGTTGTAAATGTTGCAAGGGAAGTACCAGTCCAACTGATTGTTGTTGCCCGTGATGCTTGAAGTGTTCGTCTTTGTGATAAGCCCGAGGCAGTTCTTATTCACATTCTGGAACATGAAAGAGATATCGGCCCCGGAGGCCCCCCAATTCCCGACGAAGAGCGGGTTTGTCTTCCCATTGAAGTCACCAACGGCGGGGTGGTTGAATTTGCTAAAGTCGTAGTCGTAACCGTGGATGATGACCGAGGCGGTGTCGATTTGGCCAGACTGGAAGCGATTGGGTTGCGTCCCGCAAACGACCTCGGTGAAGCCGAACGTGATGAAGCCGACGATGGCCATAAGACTGATGATAATGAGGAGGAGTCCGATCTTCTCGCGCCATGCCCGCTGCTGCTCGGGGGTGCGGATGCCTGCGCAGCACCGAAATGAGCGGGCGCAGCGCCCGGAGACACACGGAGACACTCACCACATGCGCTGAGGAAGAACGACGGCACCCAACACGTCGCGATATAACAATAGATGTACCACGCATCCTTCGGCCCTGGCCCAATGTTGCCCAAACAGCCATCTCGAGACTTGGGTCCCTCGGGAGGAACGGCGGCAGACGATCGTTTGCGGCGGAGCGTCCCACGCTTAAAGAGCGCAAGACCCGACTCATGCACATCTTCCTCGCGACCCAGGAGCGACTTTCCTCGTCGGAGCTGGCCCCGGGTGGGCGCATTTCCCGTCGCTATGTGACGAGAGGAGACATCGGTGGGACATTCGACGCGTAGAGGGAGAAGAAAACGCACTGGAAGGGAGGGCGTCGCCCATCTCGGCCGCCCGCTGACGGTAGTGCCATTGGCGATGGTTGGGGTCGACCTTCTCCCTGTCGGGACGAACGAGGCTCTTCTTCCTGCCCACACGGCCGTCGGAGAAGCCGCCCTCGACGTCCATCGGCGGCGGAGATGTCGCGCTCTGGTAGGCGGAGTACTGGCGATGTCGAGTCTGGTCCAACGGCTCCCGCCTTTCGCCGGTCTCAATGTTCTGGAAGGAGATACCCCGCCCCGGCTGCTGAGGGTATTGTTGCTGGGAGTAGTACTGCTGCTGCTGGTGGTGCTGCTGCTGCTGCTGGTGCTGTTGGTACTGGGGGTATTGGGGCTGGCTGTGGCCAGAGCGGTAGGTCGTGGCTGGCTGATCGGGGTAGGCCGTTGGGTAAGCGGGGTAGGATGGAGGGGACGGAGCAGGCTGCGCCGGCTGGCCCCCAGGCGGGCGCGCGGCGCGCGGGGGTCGCTGCCCTCGGTGATCCATAGCGGTGGCGGTCTGGAGAGAGTGGCGCGTACTAGCCCGGAGCCCACACACGACAGGGCGTGCAGGCGAAACGGATTTGACGTCGTCAAGCCAGCGCGCCAGCCGTGGGAGCAGTTCGATAACTGTTTCTCCCCTTATTCAACCCGAAATGCCTCCATAATCTAGCTACCTTCGAACTCCGGTTCCCATCGTCCGAGCTGGACATGTCTGCACTCCATGAGCTCGCAATGCTCACAGGCATCTCATCTCCGTAGATGTGAAGTCCACCTGTCCCGGCGTGCTGCTGGCCGCCTCCGCGCCCAAGCACGACAAGAATAACCCTTTCCTCTGCGGTCAGCACGGGCCGCCGGACTTGGGAAATTTCCGTCGTCGGCCGAGGTGCCAGCACATATGCGTGTTCCAAATACATCATCATTCATACACACCCCCATACATCGGGCACAGACACAGAATGTGATGGGCAGGCGAGCGGCTGTGGGGAAGACGTACACGGGTGCGGGTGCCTATCGTTGCTCCCATCTCCGTTCCCACCAAGCCCTCATGGCGGGAGCGTGTCGCCGGTGACTCCAATGGCTGCGAGTGCGCAAGCCGGGGTGCGGATGGCGCTGTTCAGTTTGCTCGTTCAGAGAGGCTTGCTGGGGAGCTGCGTCGGAAGGATGCCATAGCGCTTCTTGATTGTCACTCGATGGCGTGAAAACTTGTCATCGGGAGAGAACCGCGCTGGTATAATGTGAGGCGACGGACGATAGACATGATGAGAAGAGGCAGACCTGGGTGGGCAGACTTGGTAATCTTTCCAGAGTCTGTGATTTTCTGCAAGATACTTCAGTGGCCCGAGTGAGCGTAAACGGTGGAAGCATGCACACCTTCAGCGTGTAAATCCTGTTTCCATTATCATCCAAAGTGTACATGAGATGCATGGCGGAGGTGCGGGGGAGAGGTCGCTTGAGCGCAGACACCGCCCAGGACGAAAAATAAAGGTGTCAACGCGCGCGGCCCGGGCGTGTTATTTGCGGTTAGATACAACAAGCATTCATTATCCCATCCATAATCTCGTTTACGTCATAGCGCTTGTTGCGGCCTCACCCGCCGCGTGTGCTTTTCTTGGAGTGTCGTTGCATGGTGGGCCGGCCAATGGAAGAGAGAAGTATGAGTAAGTGCCGCCTTTCCAGTCGGCGGACGGCATGCGTATGTATAACATGGCGGCGATAGCAAGAGATAGGTATCAGACCATATCTAGACAGATGACGTCAGTAGTGTAGTAGGTGGCGACGGGGCCTTGGGGGCACGCTGCAGTGTGCACAGAAGCAAGAGTATTACAAGAAGGGGTTGTTTCAGCCGCGGCTTGTTCTTGCGGTCTTGCGAAGCATTTCGCACGCACAACCTGAAAACGGAGCATTCTCATCAAATGCTCTCGATGATCGTGATGTGCTAACTTGAAGGCCCCAGACCGCGCAAGTCGAATAGAAAAGGGGCCAACAGTTACACACCTCCGTTCGTGAAACGTCGTGGGTGAGCATTTTCCCATTCTCTTTAAGGAGCACATGCTTGGTCGAGATCGTTGCATTAGGGTGCTACGCATGCAGCCTCAGTGATTCCATATATTCTCAATCGTCTCGTCCGTCGCCAGTCGGCTTCAAGAACGGGCGTAGCGTTGACATCGAAGCCGGGGAGCGTGCTTGGGCACAGTCAGTAGAGAGGAGTCGAGGACGTTACTGTGGAGGCTCGGGCTTTCAAGAGAGCAGTTCGGGAGATGCGGCTCTCCGATCTCTGGGGTAGGTCGGGTCTGACACCGTCTGTTGGAGGCTGGTTACATAAGAACTCGGATGACCTCAGGCTTGCGCACGTCCACGTCGGAGTGCGTGGTCGGCGTGCGCGCACTTGAAGGCGATCCCGTCGTGGCTTCTCGCCAGATCTCTCGAAGTCTGCACGCTTGCCCCAGGGAGTGTGGGCGGCCCGACGGCCCGGGAACGCGCGCTTGCTGAGACACGGCTCAAGCCTGCCCCGGATCCAGCTGACGTAGTAGATCTCAGCTAAGGTTGGGCTCAGTCACAGCTCGCCCCTATGCTGAGCACGTGAGATCGGCGCTCAAATCAGTTATCTTTGCGCTAGACGCCAGATAAGTCCCCCGCAAAGACGCCAGAATGCGCGCACACCATCCCGAACACACAGCATACAGTCATTGGCGGGTCCTTGAGACACCCAATTCTTTATAAGTGATGCTCCGACCGTCGATGGTCGCAAGCCTTTGAAACTTGGCACATGATATGATATATGATAGATGTACCTATGTGAATATTTTGGCATCTATAGGCGTTCAGCACAATGCAGGAACTGAGACCTGACATGAGACTGAGAATACGGAGATACCACTCCTTGAGACACCCTAATCGGGTAAACTCTCACGCCGGCGCCTACATAGATCAATCCGATGTATCACCTCTCTCTGCGCTGTCCTCATGTTGTTCTTACTGCTGTTTCCGTTCTCTCTGTCCCCCTGACCTCCGTGTACTCTTGAGTTCTCGAGTAGGGTCAATGACAAGAGCAAGGCAGCACGATCCGGCACATCGCGTCTAATGCGTATCACATGACCGTATTTGTCGTCATAAAGGCGCCCGTTGGGTGTCCGTACCGTCACCGGTCATTCGGGATCCATGAACAGACGTCGCGCCGTCTCTGAAACGAGGAAGATAGGTCACATAGGTATTGATATGAGGATCCTGATGCTACCGGGGGCACTATTTTCATGTTGCCTTGCAATTTATATTTTACATTTCATTACTGCGGTGAAATCAGACATAAAGGGCTGTGGCGACATGGAACACCCTCCTCATCTGGGCGGTTTTCTCTTAGCAACTGACACCAATATTTCCCTATACAATGGTCATTTTTTGTGGGATTTAGGACACGTCTGTGAAGAGAGGGGAAGGACTGTCTCAAGGAGTGGTGGTGTCTCAAGGACCCGCCAATGACTGTAATAGTGACTGGGTGCGCGAGTAGATAAAAGCATGCAAATGATCGTTATGTATGCTATACAGGTGTCGCGATGTCTGCGCGCTCAAATATCGCCCTAGGGGGAAGCCCATGATGGCTAGCATACTTCTTTGCTGCCCAAGCCGCCTCCGCTCCGTTGAGACCGTCGCGATAATGCTGAGAGTGTGGGCTTTGCGCCTGACAGAAACTTCCGACACCACCTGCGAAGCGTTCGCGCATGATTTGGCGCGCAACCGAGCTTCTGTGCAGTCGACACGGAGGTCTTCTTCCATCCACGCACAGACGCATCTCCACGAGACGGCGGTGAAGCTGCGGGTTTCCTGCTTTGAAAGGCAAATATCTCCTCTTCTTCGTCTTTGAGCGCGGCCACAGTAGTGCATCCAGCAGCTTCAGCCCCGCTCCTGTAGCCTTACGCGTGGGCGCTGATTGAAAGCGTCCTCCGGCAGTGTCGTTTGGGATCGCGGGGACGACAACACAGTGGAGGATTCCGCTGGAAGGTCCGCAACCGGCAGTCTGGATGGTGTGTTCCCAGGCGGCAGCTGAGGTGCTGCCTGAAGTTGGGACATCTCCACAAGCATGCGGCGACTTCTCAACGTGCACGTCGTGGTTCAGCCCTGTGATGCGTGCTTGAAGTGCACGCTCCGGTGGCACCGGGGGCTGCATAGCGAGCTCAATAAGAGGTTTTGAAGAGATGGTATGATATCCATGCCGGGTTTTCCTTGTTTGGACTCGCTTTCAAGACCTTCTCCTTCATCCACCTGCCTATGTTCTTCAACCTGGACGCTTTTGCGGTGCTAACTCGACCTATGGTTGTATGCTAATGTCATTCTGACAGGCTTACTCAATAAACTCCATTTCCTGGCGCTTTTATTGACGCCTGAACTGCGCTCGTCTGCGACACCGCTCACGATGCCACTTCCTTTCCCGCCTTCTCTCGCCAAAAGGAGCTCCAGGGAGTTGTAGCCAAATACTATTGGTACAATCCTCCGGAAACAAACCAGGAGAAAATGCTTCATTAAGAAAAGTACATGGTTTACAATGAATCCTCCACCCAAACGGACGCATTTGGATCACGTGATGGAGCGGGCTGTGACTGAGCCCAACCTTATGTACAGCTGTTTCCGAAATGATTGCCCGACCAACTCCGATGATACGCGAGCTCGCATCACACGCGAGCTGCACGAACGCACACGAGAAAATCGAAAAAATCGAAAAAATCGTCCTCATCGTCTGCAGCGGTTTTGCGCCCTCCGCTCCATTCCTTTTGTCTCTGCTTCACATCTCATCATGCCTGGGTGCTATGTCTCGCGAGATATCAAGCTTCAAGGCTTGTGCGATCTACTTGCGGTCGGTTCAAGGCTGGTCGCGGGTCGACGTGGCTGAAGTCCTGGGAGTGTCTATACGCTCTATCCGACGATGGGAGGACGACTACAAGACATTAGAGCAGCCGGATTCTCTGTGGTCGCTGCCCTCTGCTTCCATCCGCGGTCCTAGAGGATCTGCGATATCTCCTCTCCCACCCTTCGATGTACCTCGACGACGAAGTCGTCAAGTGGTGCATTGAAACCCACGGTATTCGCATCTCTCTCACCACTGCCCACCGTACCCTCGTCCATCTCGGGTTTTCGTACAAGAAAATGTGAAAGGAGGCAGCCCAACGCGACGAGATCACCCGGCATTGGTGGCACGCCCAGGACGAGTCAAACAAGGACAACCGAACTGTATGAGTGCGCTTTGAATGGGCAGCGTGCTGGCTGACCAGGGCCGACGCTTCTCCGTCCTCCCCGCCCTCACATTGGACGACATTCTCCCCGTGTGGGTGGTGCAGGATGGTGTGGAGTCCTACCGGCGATTGGGTTGTCACAGAGCTGGTATGTCGTGTCAACTCGTCTCGGTCCTCATCCCGTCTCAGCGGTCTCTTTGATAGCTGCCCAAGATGAACCCGTTCTCGAGCCCAAACAGTGTTCTCATTGTCGACAATTGCCGCACACACACGAGTGAAGCAGTTTGCGAGGCAGTGGAAGCAGCCAGTGAGTGCGGAACATGCTCTTTCGGCTGGAATTTCGCCGTATTAACGGTGCAAAGGGTGTCTGCTCATATACCTTCGTCGGCAACGGGACTACATGGGTGGAGACGACGCCTTTCCGGAGAACGAGCTCATTGAGGCCTGCTATGCTGCTGTCACCCCGGAGAAGGCTCACGGCTGGTACAGGCGTAGCGGTTGCCTGTAGGTATACATTGTAGTTGCTTCTGTGAATTCATGCTTCGGCCCCGACACGAACACCGTTAAAGCTCTCCCAGTCCCTACCCGTGCTGCTTCATACGTGCACGATGGCGTTGCATCTCGCGCTCGCGCTCTCAAGGTACCACATGGGTTTGAGCATGGTCAGTCTCACGCGGTGCATCATGGTGGTCGTTGTGTGGAATGTGCTCGGCGCGCGGGGCGACGGCGAGTGCTGTACGATCCTCGCCGTCATCGTCAACAGTGTGCTGCAGGTTGTCCTCTACGTGTCGCTTGCACTGCTGTGGATCGTGACGTGTTTCGTGGTGCTCAAGACGATGTCGCGCGTATTCCTCGAGACGTGCTTCGCCGCCCATGACCAGGCAGGAAGTTGCGACGTGCGACAAAACCGTGCGTCGCGCATCTCTCTGTTGCCTTCTGTGTCGTCCATGTGGCGGAAAGATATGTAGAGCCAGTGTTAGAGCAGGAAGGAGGTAAAAACAGAAGCGTACAAGGTGTCGCTGGCACGCTCTCGCTGTCCGACCCCAATTTCCATCATTTTCCGAATTTTCTGCGTCGCTCGCGTCGGCTCGCGTCAGGTCGTGCGCGCGCGGTGAGACTTTCCCGAATTTCTCCGAATTTTTCGGAGCATTCGTGCCTGTTGCCGCTCGCGTAGCGTCGGAGTTGGTCGGGCAATCATTTCGGCAACAGCTGTAATAAATCTCTTTCTCAGCATCGAGCTCAACTTCATGCGACTTCGACGACCGCGCCGCCTCCGCCAGCCTTGTCGCCTGAGTCCCTGCCTGACCCATGTCATCCGCATCTACATCAAGCCTGCCCGCAGCACGCCGGCCAAGAACGACTGGTCGTCAGACGAGAAACTGTGGGCCGGGCTCGCAGAGCAGCAATCTGCACTGCGGATTTAGCTACGAATCTGACCGGAAGGATGCTCAAAGTTCCCGGTGCGCAGCATGGAGAAGTCAACGTATTACAGGGAGGGCGCCCCAGCGGACGCGCGCAACTCTCACGGCGCTGACCACGACAGTCACTGCGGCCACCAGTAGCACAACGGCAGCGGCGTGAACGAGGCGAGCATTCATGATCCCATGGGGCGTTTGGGTGTGTAAATTTAGGTCCCAGGGTGCCAATCACGCTCCGGCGTGTCCCGAGAGCGTCACAGTGCTGGCGCACAAGGTATGGTTCATGTCTGTCAGTACAGAGAAATATTGCTTTCACCCACCGGCAAAGAACATAAAAGGACCCCGTCGACCCCGATCCCACAACCATCCCGCAGTTCATTCACTCAACCCTCTTCATCATGAAGCTCCTCGCCCTCATCGTCCTCGCCGTCGCCGCCGCCATCCCCGCTCAGGCTTGCAAGGGCATCGACAGCAACGGATCCGAGAACGTCGGAAACACCCAGAGCTGCTGCGAGTCCCTCAACGGGTCGTTCCATGACGGGAACGACTGCGCCGCCGACTCCATCTCGGAGCACCCCAGCAACTTCAGGTCGTGCTGTGAGAGCCACGGCAGCCAGACCTTGGACTGCGACTTCCCTTGAGTCAAGCCGGCACCATACAAGGCGCTTTTGCAGGAGATTCGAACCGAAACGTCCACTAATGGCTGAGCTGACAGTCAAGCGCCATCGGTCATTGAGAGCACCCACCGCCGCGTTCTAGAGATGAGAAGGGATTTGTGAGCGGGCGGGAGACGTGGGTGAGAAGTTGGATATGCTTTGTACTATGATCGAAGCCCAACATCGTTGTTTTGACGGCACTGAGGTCGATTCTGCAACGAAGATGCTCCACCGACGCAGCGACGGCCGTTGTGGAATCACGCTGCTTTTGTTGTGCACGGTGCGAAAGTATCACCATTATTGCCGTCGAAATGAAAGGCTTCGGCTGGGTACAAAGTAGAACAGGATCCGGGTCTACAGATGAGTGTTGTTCCACAGCGAGCGCACGACAAACGTCGCAGGATCAGGGTTGGAGATTTTGGATAGCGTCGGGTTGAGGACGAATTGCACTGCGGAGCGCGTCGTCAGTCAAAAATTCTGCGAAAGAGACGTGGCGAAATCACCTGTGCGGTCGATGCCCGGGATCAGGTAGAACCCGTTGAGCAGGTTCCCGGTCCTCTTCTCCCGGAAGTATCCGACCGTGCCGACCGGATGGTCAAGCCACGTGAAGGCCGCAACACCTCCCTTCGCAGAGAGGGTGAAAGTGAGACTGTCGCCCGCGATGACCTCGATCTCGGGGTCGATCAGGGGAGCGAGCGCGAGCGAAGCCGGGGTGAACTGCGTGCACATGAGCACTCAGCTCGACATCCAGAACCAGGCACAGCACTCACCACCTGCTCCTGCGTCACCGTCTTGCCATCGACCTCTGCAGAGACGTTCACCAGCATGAACACCTCCGACGCGTTCTTGCCCGACGGCAGCAAGTTCTTCAGCCCCGTCGCCCCAAACACCGTCGTCCCGTTCACCGGCGCGATCTCGAACGGCACCGTGGACGAGTTCAGCTCCCCACCCGCCCAGTCGTACCACGTCATCTGCGCCTCACCCGACACCGCGTCCCACCGATCGGACACGACCATGACCTCCAGCGTCTCGTTCCCAGGGTACCAGAACGGATGGGGGGTGACAGGCGCGAAGACGCCCGCCATGCCGTACTGCAGCACCTTCCAGCGCCCGGAGTACTCGATCGCAGACCAGCTCACGCCCTGCCAGATGTCGTTCAGCTGCCAGACGAGCGCGCCGAGGTTGTTCTCGCCGAGGCCGGCGCCGCGGCGGTACCACGCGATCTCGGAGACCATGTTGAGGGACTGGAAGATCTGGGTGCTCCAGCACCACTGGGCGAAGGTTTGGTTTGCGTCGGTGGTGCCTGGGGTGGGAAGCCAGAGTTCAACGGCCTGGGTCATCTGGGCTTGGCCCTGGTTCGCGTTAGGGTTCGGGAACGCGAGGCCGCCGGCGGGAGGGTGGTGGTCGCGTGAGGCGACGACGGTGGAGTTGAAGCTGAAGTCTTCGGGGCTCTCGAGGACGTCCTCCCAGCTGTAGAACGAGGGAAGGGAGTGAAAGCTAAGATGCTCATATGTGAGCGTTGATGAACAGGACAATCATGACAGCAGGGAGCTTACCCGAACTCGTTGACGAAGCGGGAGACGGGGTACGTGCTGTAGTTGAAGGCTTGCGAAGCATCGTAGTTGTAGCGTTCTGGAGGACGCGATCAGCGCATACAATGGAGCATCCAGTCTAGTGGTAACCTACCCGAGTTTCCGTAGATGAAACCGGGTGTCTTGTTGCTGTACCGGATCTCATAAGGATCGAGACTCAGCACCCCGCTGGTAGTAGAGCAGTCTGTGTATGCCACCTTCACCAAATTCTCAGTATCTTCATATATCGCCATAAACGCTGATCACTCACGGAATCCTCTTCGTTCAGCACAAT